CATGCTTAGATGAATCTTGGCCAGTAATTTTGCAAGCACTTGCACTTGATGCAGTTCCTGTGAATTCTGAAGGAAATGATTGTGCCAAAGTCACAGTAGAAGACACCCAAAAACACTGTATCGCTACAAGTCAATGTAGCATGGTGGAATTGAAGTGTGAAGATTTTAAGTTCCTGTGGGGCTTTTCTCTTCTTGGTCTGTTTCAGTCACAACATCCTAAACTTTGCCGATCAATTATACAGCTGGCTTTTGGTAATGCTAAGCATGGTGGGAACTTGCCAAGTAATGAAGTGAAACCCTCAGGCTTGAAATTATATGAAATTGTACTCCCTATGTTTCAATTTCTGTTGACTGAGAGATTTTTTGGAGCGGGGTTACTCACCCTGGATATTTGCAAAGAACTGCTGCAGGTGGGTTATTTCTTATGGGATTCTTTGACTTACAGCTCCAAGAAAAAATGTTAATGTAGGTGAATGCTACTGAAGCAAGTCCTATTAAGATAACCGATTTTACTTCAAATGATATTTCCTTGAACCTATCCATTTAATTTCATTTGGACATATAAATACACAACCTAGTACCTATACCTTATTTTGTCTTTATTGGTTCAGAGTAGAATGTTTGGCTATTTAAAGGAGAAAGGATTGATGACTTATCTGCACTCTGTCTATATATCATTGCTAATACACTACAGTGTATAAGGAGATTGGAGTGTAGAAGAGTCCTGCTTGTTTACATTCATGATAAATTCTATGCTTATGGTTAAAAGCATATTATATGGAATGGTCATAAAGAGTACACTTACCCTTTTATGTTTAATGGATGCAGATTCTTTCATATTCCACCTACATCGATAATTCTTGGAATAGTCTTGCTATATCCATTTTATCACAGGTAGAGATTAGATCAATTGATTTAAGGATTGTGTCTCTGCATTTTATTTTATCCCCTTTTGGGGTAGATTTATGATAACACTTAAAAGCACTCTATTCCTGATAAAGCAGAATATGTTCCCATGTTAATCTAATAAGCTTTTTACTGTCTTGTTGAATTTTTTTGAGATGTGTGAAGTTCAAGCTTCTATTTTTTCCCTACAGGTTGCACAGAATTGCCCACAAGAAATTTTCAATAGTGAAAATTTTGCTCTGATGACAGTGGAACTTTGTTTAGACTACCTTTTTAAAGTGTCTCGGAGGTATTTAATTTGTGTTTCCTGTGACTGATGATTTATTGTAGTTTCAACTATTTGATGGACGTTTTGCATTGGATATTTATTCTCTACTAAAGTGTTCCTGTATTTCTGTTGTCCAGTACTGATGCAATTTCAGTGTCTCATCTGAATTCTGAAGTAAATGAGATACACACACTTTGTGACGCAACAAAGTCAGTCATTAACCGTAGTGAGGCCAAGGTGTGTCTGTTGTTTCTGATACTGGATAACTGTTTTCTATCTGAGCCAATATCTTTTTGTCAAACGAAACATTTATAATTCTGTATTAATGGAAGTCTTTGTGCAATATTTCATAAATTGGTCTTTTGTTAAACTCATTCTCAAAAAGTACCTTCATTGCTGATTTTCTCTTATTATGATACATAAGATACATAAGCATTCAAAGTCGGTGGTTCTGGCATTAGTTTTAATTGGCTACAAGTGCATTAGGGAGGCTTCAACTGAGGTGTGCTTATCAGAAGCCATTGACATGGTCAACTGTACAAATCCATTACTAAAGAGAATCATTGATGGTAAGCCGTTTTAGTTGGAACTAGTTTGGTCCATATTCTTGTCTGCTTCCATGTGAATTGCTAGTTTGCATATTAATACATGACGTGTGTTTCCTCATTGTTTCAGTACCAATATAGGAGTGAAAAATCAATTTTGATTCATTCAACAGCACAGCTGATGGATCTTTACCTAATTTTGTTTTGTAGATGAGTGTGAGCCTGATGATAGCATTCTCCATTTAAGAGATATGCTTGGAACTTGTCTGAGCGTGGTTGCTGCTCTGACTAAGGATTGCATTGAGGGATTCCATTTACAGGAGGTTAAAAGTTTCAACCAACGCAAGCTAATACATACAAAGCTTGCATTTTCTCTTGAACAAATTATATCCATTTCTAAACTAGCTCGTGAAAGTAAATATGCTGAAGATTGTGAAGCAAGCAGCTCCATCTGTTTTAGTGCATTGCGATATTGCATTCGATGTATCCAAACTGTACTTAGTGATTCAAATATGCAGGTAAATGAATATATAGGTATAACACAGACCATGGCTGTTACCCTGAAAGAAATATGTATGACAGAACTTTCTTCGTGACAGGTTCAAGTAATAGGTTTGCAATTTCTTAAAGCCAAGATTCAAAAAGGTGTAAATACGGAAGATAACTCTTTTATAATGTTTCTTGTTGGGGAGCTAATTACCGATATTTTCGCTTTGATCCACAAAATGTTGAAGGTATAGGCAACATTTGCATATATTTTGCCATTACTGCTATTAATATCATTATCAGTTCATTTTATTTGCTGATTGAATTTTCCAATTTATTGTGTAGCTAAAGGATATTCTATTTCTATTGATACCAGAATACTATGACAAAAGAATCGGTAACCATTGCCAGTGAATGCTTGAGTCTCATGGTGCTGTTACAAACCCTGTCAAAAGGTAATGATTGCCAGAGAAGTTTCATGACCCTACTACTTGAGGCTGTTGTCATGATTTTCTTGTCAACGGAAGATGGGTTCTCTCAGGTAATGTAAACTGAGATTTTCTATTGCTGAAGTTAGCTGCTCTTAATTTTGTCATACGTTCTTTTGATCATGTGAACAAATGACAGGAATTCAGTGATTTAAGAAGCACAGCCATTAAGCTTGTTTCCCGCCTTGCTCTACTTCCTTCATCAGCCATCCATTTCAAGGATGTTTTACTATCTATGCCTCCTCTACATCGCCAACAACTCCAGGTATTTCTGTGTCACCAATATGTGCCTATGCGGACTGATTATTGACATTTATTTTGCTCAATTAACATCTCCTCTCGTTATTTTCTACAATTACTAATTGACTATCTGAAAGACCTTGATGAAGATTGTGTTTTTGGAAATGGAAAATTCCTTTTTCTGTGATAATAAGTTCCCATTATAATTTCTAATATAATCTACATGCAGGATGTAATCCGAGCTTCTGTAACACATGATAAAAATCCAACAGATCTAAAATTACCAGTTTTGGACATAAAAATCCCAAAGCCATCAGAAGGAATTGAAGAGAAAGAGTCTGCATCATCGGCTGCTGTGATGCAAACAGATGAAAATGACAAGGAAGAAGATGAAGTCAGCGAAGATGATTGGGATGCTTTTCAGTCTTTTCCTGTCTCTAAAACTGAGGATGGAGATGAATCAGAAGCAGAGCATGCTGGTGAAGGCAACGATCTTAACCTGGTTAAAATGTCATCAGAAATGGAAGGTTCTATTGGAGATTCTGAGTTTCAGGAATGTTCTATTTCCAAATCCATCGATAGTGAAAAGGAGCTGAAAGGCGATGAATGTCTAGAGGCTGTTGAGAAATATGATCAAACTAATCCTGGTGCCGACAGGCCACATGATAACGAGAAGATAGAGCTGGAGGGAAATTTGGAAAACTCAGGGCTTCAAGAAGAGGGAATGTCATTCCCAGGAAATGAACAGGTTTGTTGTGAACAGAAGCCTGAGTTAGAAGCTGAAGGATCCATTAAGGAGGAAGAAGTGTCAGATTCTCTGGCACTTCAACAGGGATTTTGTGAACCTGATAACAGTGAACCATGTAACAGATGCGATGAAGATGCTAAGAAAGACAGTATAAATGAAAACGAAAGTCATGACTCGCAGCTAGAAATGTCTGAAAGTCCAATAGAAAGCGAACAGTCTAGTACGAAATTAGAACCATTTGCTGAAGACCATAAAGCGTAAGGTATTTGTATATTGAAGGCATAAGATATATCAATTATAACTCCCATTGCAAGAAAAACCGCGGCAAAATATCATAGTTTGAAGCCTTGTAAATTTGTGTCGTCCACTAGTGCCATTTTTTCCATTCCAACATTATATTATTTGTAGTATCCACTTTTTTTTTAATTAAAATTTGTAGCATCTACTTTTATATTTAGGGCTTGTTATTTTGTATTCATTAGTATAAGAGAACAAATTTTTTTAAAAATATATTAAAAGTATTTATTATATCAAAACATACAAGTTATTCAATGTTTACTTTTTATGTTATGTTACTTCATTCTCATAAGATGTTATGTAAAATACTATTTTACGTTCACTTAAAATAAAAATAAAAAAAAGTGAAAAAATTTAACAAAATTAAAATTTCATTTATAATTCTTTTTGGTAAGTCGCGACAACTGTAGCTATTAAAGAAATATATATATATATATATATATATAGAAAAGTATGATAATAAATGAATATCAATTTGCTTATTAGTACTTTCAAAACTTATATTATCATTCAGAAGTACAATGATTAATAAAACCAACATTAAAGCTTAGTCTATAATTTATAAGAATTATGGTGAACTATTGATAATTTTAATTATTTATAAAATTGTTCATTTAACAGTCTTTATTTAAATATTGTAATGTACCATTAAAAAATATCGCATTCTAATTAAAGACAAATGCATAATCGCTCAAGCAGTCTTGATAGAACATCATTTAAGAACATTTTTATATAATATTATGTATTTAGTAGTTTTTTATCATTTTTTTTATTTTTAGACATTTTAAATTTCTAAGAAAATCATTTAATAAACAATTAATACTTATTTGTATTAAAATTAAGATTAAAATATATTAAATTAAACTAAAAGCGTAAAAAAGTATAGAATATTACGTTGTGGAAAATTATTTGGGGTGTGAAATAAGCAAAAGGAAAGAGAGAGATAAAAGGAAAGAGATAATAATAATAATAATAATAATGTGGAAAATAAGATGTACGTTTGACTTTATATGGTTAGTTCGGTTCTAAAAAATGTCGTGAACTTTCGTTAGTCATTCCGCCGCTCATATCCTCTCCTTGTCCATCCCACTCCAAAACCCTTTTAGTTATTCATAAAAAAGCTCTTAGCTTTTCAATTTTTGGGAGAGAGAGAGAGAGAGAGATGCGTAAACTGCTGATACTGTATGGCACTCAGACTGGCAATGCATTGGATGCAGCTGAACGTATTACTCGCGAAGCTGAACGAAGAGCTTGCCCCGTTAACCTTCAATCTGTCCATGAATATGATCCTGTGTGTTCTTCTTCCTCTTCTTCATGTGTGATTTCATTTTCTTATGGCCTTTCGTTTTGCACTGTTGGGTGTGGCAAAAACTGTTCTTTTGAAATCAAAGTTGAATTTTTTGCTGCTTTTTCAATGCAATGTTGCTTGGTTTATGTACAGAGTTTGCTACCAGATGAGGAGGCTGTTATTTTTGTGGTTTCTACCACAGGCCAGGGTGATACGCCTGATTCCATGAAGGTAATTAGCTCTAAGTCAAAACGGTCTTTATATACCTTTTTATATTTCATTTTATTTAGGTTCTCGTGGGATTGACTTAGGGGTCTTTTTTTAATATAGTTGTGTTGATTCTTCTTTTCCCTTTGCAGGTTTTTTGGAGGTATCTTCTTCAGAGAAACCTAAGCCAGCATTGGCTGAAAGGGGTTCTCTATGCGGTTTTTGGCTTGGGTGATTCTAGTTATCAGAAGTACAATGTAATCAATCATGTCTGTTATCTTAGGGAAATATTTATTCTTGCTTGTTTTGTGTCTTATTTGTTAGATGAAGTATTGTAATGCTCATGAGTGCTGCTTTGTTTGTTGACTATGTACATGTTGATGCATGACTACAATTTCCATCGATGAGATTTTACTGTCTTGGCAGATGTGTTTATTCTCTTTGGCTTGATGTTTTGGATAAAACCTTACATGTGAACTGTCACAGTTTGTTGCAAAGAAGCTAGACAAAAGATTAACGGACCTTGGAGGAACATCTATTGTGGAAAGAGGCTTGGGAGATGATCAGCACCCTTCAGGGTATGATGGATTATGTTGTCAATTAAGAAAGTGTTGCTTGATTTAGTTGAAATATATATCTTTATGCTTGTGGAGTTTGAAAAACATTGCTGTTGTTGGATAGATTATTAATCTAGAATGTACTAGTAGAGTATTTAATTCTTTATTATTTTTAATTGTTGAAATTCAGTCATGTATGGGAATACGTCTCTTCTGTTCTTTGGTAAATGCTTCCTTTTGTAGATAATATATTATAATGTGTAAAAATATCTTTTAAGGGACTAAAGATGGTATAATTATTTGTAGCTATGAAGGTTCTCTAGATCCTTGGATGTCTTCTCTGTGGAGAATGTTAAACGAGATTAAACCAGAATTCTTACCAAATGGTCCTGATGCTGTGATTCAAGATACAGTATTGATTGATCAACCCAAGGTCCAGGTCACATATCATGACGTTGAAAATGTTGAGTCACATTTTTCTAGTGCCTCAGGTATCCCAAACTCATTAAATTCTTGGTTCACTTACAATGTTCCTGTAGCAATTATTTTGTGACCTCAGGAAGTCTTTGTATGAATATTGCTTTTGTTGTTTATGATTTACTCCCCGTATAAATTTGGTAGGACACATTATATGTTTCGATGATAAGTTGAACCCTTTGCTTTCATTACTTCATTACATAGTCATTTTCTGGAATCTATGGCGAGTTGCTGGATTTGGTTAAGTCTTTGACAGTGTAATGGTTAAGTCTTTGAAGTTATTGGTGCTTAAACTGCCAAGAGCATATGATTCCTGTCATATTTGGGAAAACACATTACACTGTATATATGTTATTATAATGATGTAATCTCTATTTTTTTGTGAAAATTTTGCCTTGGTGTTCTCAATACTATGCATGGATAACTTTGGTTGAGCTGTAGCTGCAGACCCTCATTTTTATAAGAAAAAATCATTTTGTTTCGATATGTTTGACTAAATTAACATGTGATTTTTTCAGATTTAACGCATCTTAATATTCAAATTGGGAGTGCTCGTTCAATGCATCCTGGAAAATCATCTTCTGACGGAAGTAGACCTGGCTGCTTTCTGAAGATGGTATTGGATAAAACACACTATCACTTGTAGTTGTAAACAATATTTAGAATATGCCCATTCTGCTGACAAACAGTGTTCAGTAGTAGTGATCAATGAACAGGGTGCTCTGCATTGTCCATCAATAACCAGTGTATATATAGTAAATAAATGATTCATCAACTCTTTTGTAATATAAAATAATACACTTGATATTTATCACTCTAGTGGTTTATATAAGCAGTTTTACATGGTGCTCTAAGTCTATATTTGTCATGAACAAACTCTCCAAAGAAACTTATATACCACCGAGTCATCTGTTTCTATTGAACATCCCAATTTATTCGATTATGAATGTGCAGGTGAAGAATCTTCCTTTGACAATATCGAACTGTGGAAAAGATGTTCGGCATTTTGAATTTGAATTTGTTTCACATGTAAGCTATCCTATGCCTTATTTAACCTTGCTGTACATAGATGTATAAACTTGAACTTGTTGATGTTGGTACTTGGTACATTTTAAGAACAGATTACTTTTCTTCAAATTCCATTTTTATATCATGTGAAATTAATAGCTACAACCTAAAAATTTATTTATATCTTCATTTCAATTAAAAATGCATTATGGTTTCCTCAGGCTATTGAATATGACACTGGTGATGTCCTTGAAATTCTCCCTGGTCAAGATTCGACTGCAGTTGATGCTTTCATACGACGTTGTAATTTGGATCCTGATTCATTCATCACTGTAAGTCTTTCAAATTGAGATAATCGTAATTGGGTTCTTTGTTCTTCAACCTTCCTCAGCATTAACATCACACTATGTTGCCTCATGTCCACAGATAAATGCATCCTTTAAACATTGTTTGACACATTTAATATGCTAAAATGAATCTTTTCAATGTGATGTAGAAATAAAAGAAACAAGCCTTATGGTTGTTTCTCCTGGAATTTTTTTTTCTGGAAATAGTAGAATCGTATAATTGCTCATTTCTGCTTGTACTTTACTTTGTATCTTCCTTCTACATCATTGGCATTTTTTTATTAAATTAATGTTTTTCATTGACGTGTGTATGTAAACTTGTCTACTAAGAAATCTGCTAAATTTCAGGTTAGTCCTAGAGAAGTGAATGATCGCAATGCTCATGGATCCAGAGTTCCTGTAAAATTAAGAACTTTTGTGCAATTTTCAATGGATGTAGCTTCAGCTTCCCCACGGCGATATTTCTTTGAGGCAAGATGCAGTAGGTTTTGACTGACCTTTTATTATGCCATTTTAAAAGAGAATTCCATGTTGAATTCAATGTTTTCCTCTGTTATTTTATTTTCTTCCCTCTCTTTTTTATTGTAAGTTTTTCATCTTGGTTTAGATGTTGTAATGGTTTAATAAATTGCTAGAGTTGATTGCATTGTGGAATCAAATGGAAACCAACATAACGGACTGATTAATGTTCATTTTTCAATATATTTAATGGTTTAATTTCTCCACTTCCACTAAAATTCTCCATTAAAAATCCTTGTTAGGTCAAACTGCTGGTCTTTGGATCATGTCACTTGGCAGGTAAATCAATTACCAGCCACTAAATGACAGCATTAAGCTAATAGAACTGCCAATGCTGCATCTTGGCTATGGAGAGACAATGACTGTTGGCCATCCTCTTGAAACCTAAAGATATTGACTGAAATTATATACAGAAATCTGATGTATTGTTCAATTTTATGTATGTTAGTGCTAATTTATGTAAAACCTCTTATACCTTATTCTTGAAAAGTATATTCCTTTTTCTTTCTTTTTTTCCTACACTGCCCCTCATTCCATAGCTGATTGAATGTATGATGTGTATTGTATAAATTTGTTCTGGTGCATGATGATTTCCTAAATATTGAGACACAGGACAGAAGCATGATAAAAAATGGTCATCAGTTTGGATATTTGATTGTAAACATGCTTTTTTACATGCCTGTAATTTCCTGCATTAAAAGCTAACCAAGCAATAATTTTATGTTCCAGGTTATGAGTTTTTTTGCAATTGCAGAACATGAGATGGAAAGACTGAAATATTTTGCTTCACCTGAAGGAAGAGATGACCTGTACCAATATAACCAGAAGGAAAGGAGAAATGTTCTTGAGGTAACGTCAATGAATTGTACATCATACATGATTTTGCTTTGTGAGTGACTTGCTATTCTTATGCACTGAATTCTTCATGGTATGTTAAGCAGCTTCATATATGTTTGGTATGCAACAAAGTGGGGAATGGTTAAAGAGCTATGTTTTGGAGTTAAGACAAGCTAAAAGTGATCAATGAATGGAAAAAAAATTGGAAAAAAAAAATTGATAATTTTTGGTGGTTCTTAAACCCTGACTCAAATATGCTGCAAAAGGGCGCATATTAATATTGTCTACCTAGATTAGTGATGTAAGACAAAAATATTTATATAATGGGTAAGAAAGGGAGAGGATATGAAAGCCTCCTTAATGAAATGCTAGTTTTCTAATTTAGCTTTGATTTAACAATTATTAAGCTATTCATTTGCTGTATGCTTTTGTTTTCCTGTTTGTTTCATTTCAAACTTATGCATATATATGTTCTATTCATTTGATGGAGAATAGGTGTTAGAGGATTTTCCTTCTGTACAAATGCCATTTGAGTGGCTAGTTCAATTGGTTCCTCCACTGAAAACAAGAGCATTCTCGATATCTTCTTCTCAATTGGCACACCCCAATCAAGTACACTTGACTGTGAACGTGGTGTCCTGGACAACACCTTACAAGAGGAAAAAGAAAGGACTATGCTCGTCATGGCTGGCTACACTAGATCCCCACGATGGTATGAGTGCAAAATAAACCACTTATTGCAGTTTATGTAGTTAAGCAACCATTAGTTTAACTCTTTTATGTACTTCTTTTAAGCAGGCATATATGTTCCTGCCTGGTTCCTTAAAGGTTCCCTTCCTACGCCATCACCGTCCCTTCCCCTCATACTTGTTGGGCCTGGGACCGGATGTGCACCTTTTCGGGGATTTGTAGAGGAAAGAGCAGTTCAAAATAAAAACAATTCCACTGCTCCAATTATTTTCTTCTTTGGTTGTCGAAATGAAGATGCTGACTTTTTGTACCGAGACTTCTGGTTGACTCATTCACAGAACAATGGGGTGCTTTCAGAAGCAAAAGGTGGAGGTTTCTTTGTTGCTTTCTCAAGAGACCAGCCTCAGAAGGTTTATGTTCAACATAAGATGAGGGAACACAGCCAAAGGATCTGGAACCTATTAGCTGAGGGGGCTGCTGTTTATATAGCAGGTTCTTCAACCAAAATGCCTGCAGATGTAACATCAGCTTTTGAGGAAATTGTATCCAAAGAAAATGAGGTTTCAAGGGAAGATGCAATTAGGTGGATTAGAGCATTAGATAAGTGTGGTAAATATCACATTGAGGCATGGTCTTAGAATTCTTTCTCCTCTTTGGTCCAATGTTCTTATAAATTTGTCTTCTACTCCTTATTTTGGGTGGGAAGTTTAAGTGTCAAGATCCAGCATGATGGCATGGACGATGGATCAGAGTGATGCAGATATTTTATGGTAAAATTGGACCTTTGGTATTGTAATTATAGCCAATAATAGTTCCCTTATTTATTTATTTTTGGGCTGCTTTATTTTTTCTGGATCTCTAGGTTTAATTAGGTAGTACCATTTGTATTCCTCCTCCCTTCCTGCCCAAACATTTGATCTCATAGATTACAGTTTCCAAAAATTTTCCAGTGAATATTTATTTTTTATTCTGATTATTACCACATGTGGTTTTGGGCTTATTCCATGTGTATGTCCCAAAATCATTAAGCTTTCAAGTGAAGGTATATCCATGATTTTATAGTATATTTCTAACATGCTTCTTCATGCAAGGATTGGATTCTAGACCACTTGATTAAGGTTTTATTAGCATATTATAATTAACTATCTCAAAAGCTAAAGGATAAAATTAGAGTATTATCAAAGCTCTACAAAGCATATTTTAGTCATATTTTAAGTTGATGGTAAACATCATGATAGTTTATATTGTGAATAATTGGTTTCGTAGTTTCTAAACATTATTCTGTATGCAATGGTCAACTTAAATAATAAAAAAGTCATATTTTCTTAATGTAGCTTAATAAAAATATGCATTCTTAGAGTCATCTTTAAATAAGAAAATTATTAGAATGTTAGACAAAAATTTTTATTTTTTATTTTTTAACCAGTCTTTTTTAACGATTGAGCTAAAAGTCTTCTCTAGTTTGGTGTCAAATAACCTAAAAGAATTGAGAATATCAATTCAAACCTTCAAAATTATTAGTTTTATTTATTTATGGCATACTCATAGTTATAACTTAAAGGAATTGAGAATATCAATTCAAACCTTCAAAATTATTAGTTTCATTTATGGCGTACACTTGGTTATACACAAAATAGTTTAAAATTGATATCCCTTGTATATTTAAAGATTAAAAATGTTTTCAAGCTTATTTTCATTTTCTTGGTGGAATTATCATTTTTTGTTAACTTATTATACAAATTTCATATTACAATTTAATTATGTATTATTATTAAACTGTTAAAATGTTAAACTTTTTAACAACACAATAAAAATAATAATATGACAACTTTTACACTTACTAGTCAAGATTAAAAAAATGTTAAATGCTAATACAAATAGAATATATTTCTTTTTTAATATTGTAAAAAATTTATTTTGATTCTTAAAAGTTATAAATATAATCTTTATATACCGAACGCACTAATCTTAATCTTATGAGTCTCAGACGGAATGCAGAAAATTATCATCATTAAACTAAATTTTATGTCAAATAGTATAATAAAAGGTATCTTAAAAGCTTTTACACCCTTTGATTTTATTTTAGTTTGAATATATTTTCAGTCTTTAAAATATACAATGATTTTAAATTAATTAAATTTTATTTATTTATAATCTTTACAAATTATAAAAGTAATACATTTTTAATTTTGGCAAAAGAGTAAAACATATTACTTTTAATGCATATATAAGAACTGGAAAAATAAAAACAAAAATTATTGACATGTATATAAGAACCAAATGTATGTGCACAAGGCTGCATCATGTTCCACTGTCGCAGAGGGGTTTTTATAACGAAGATATCTGTTCTGTTCTGTTCACAAGCAAGTGAATTGGATCTGTTCCGTTCGGTGAGGTAACGCAGAATCTCTCTCTCTCTCTCTCTCTCCCTCTCTCTGTTTTTAGTTTTGAAAAATTTTCAGTTGTTGGATCATAACATATAATGATGATGATGATGATTTGAAAGGTTTTCTTAATAGCAGTAGCCAGTAGTATCCATGAAATCAACACTGTTACTTTTGGATGAAATTTTCAATTTTTTTGTGTTTAGTTGTGTTGTTGGTACTGCCCTCATTCTGTTTGTGGAAATGTTTACATTCTAAGGACACGCATAGTTTTTTATGTTATTTTCACTGTTGTGTTGGATCACTTTGTCCTTAATTTAATTTCTCTTTTGTGTTTTGTGCACAAAGATGGCTGGAGTTTTAGGATATAGGAGCCTTGCACCCAAGACAAAGAATTTGGTTGTTGCTGGTGGTTTAACAGCTTTTGTGTTTGGTGCTTACTTCTACACCATGAGAGCTGTTGGAGGTACTGATGAACTTCAGGTAGCTATAGATAAGTTTGAAGCTGACAAGACCAAGAATACGGTTGATGAAAACATCCCATCATCAAAGGTCTAAAGATCATTCATTGCTTGATCAACAAAAAAAAAAAAAAACAATGCTTTGAGTGTATTCACTGTTTTGGTTTGAGAATATTAAAAAGAATAATGATATTTAATCTAGTAGTTAACAAGTTTCAACCAGTTTTATGTACAATGATTGAGTGGTAGGGAAACTATAATTGAGATCTTGTTTTGGCCTTATTGAGGTGTTTCGATGATGATACAAATTTGTGGTCATAGTATATGTGAGAACAGCTGCTACTGTTATGGTGTATGAGAGTTAGGGAACTTCAAATCAAAACCATATGCACTGGTTCTCTGTTTGCCTATATTAACTTCACTTAATTGATGTTTATTTCCTCAAAGGGTAGAAGAAAAACGAAATAAAGATATCTTCGATCTCTTTATTCTCTTCTTTTGGATGTAATTTTATTCTAGTTGTGAATGAGGTTATGTGCGATGAGATGATTTCCATTTACTTGTATGAACAGATATATTTGAAGTGCGTTCTAAGGACAATATTGTGACAATTCTTTTTTAGATAGAAATAGTTACTTGGTTGTGCGACAAATCCACCCAAACGTAAATTCATTTCAAAATTATAATTCAACGTTATAAATTATCACTTTTACGTTGAAACGTAATTTATGGTGGTTTTATTAAGTTTTCTAATATGCATTTAAACAACATCGTTGATTTTAGCCAAAATCAAATGTTTTGGTACGATTCCTAAATTTAAATGCCTTGAGCTCCACCGAGGAAAGAAGTGGATGCAATTCTGGATTCCTTCATATTTTCTCTTACTATTATCCTTGTTATTCCCATACCCTTTCTTGTTATATGAACCTGAAATTATCGTCCAGTTCTAATTCACATTCGTACAAAAAATTCTGAGTAAAGCCCCTCTCACCTTAAATTGTAAGTGTTTTGATTTTAGAAAATTTTCACATTATTTTTGAATTTTGTAAAATAAAATTTATTTTACACCTTATCTATTGTTTTGTCTATTGATATTGAGGACTAAGTTGAATGTGCATATTTTTAATCAAAATTAAAAAATTAAATGAAAGTTATTTTATTAAAAATGATTCTTCATATATGTGTCTTAGAGTCAGTTCACGAGCTAATTCTGGTAATAATTTTTTATGAGATAAGAGGTGTTAGACCTCTTTCTATTGATAATAACTGGTCTACGTTATTTCTTTAATTCAATCTGAAAATGGAAGGGACTTGAGCATATTAGATGTCTGTATAGAAAATTGCTCATAATAGTTGAAGTTCAAATGAGTGGAGGCTTTCAAGAGGTTTAACGACATACGCTAGTTGTCCATTATGTGATGTAGCTCGTGAAACATCTTTACATATCCTTCGGGATTGTATTTTTATTAATATAATTTGGCATAACTTATCTAGTAGAGTTTTGCATTGTGATTTCTTTAATATGTAACTGAAACAATGGCTGGATGCCAATCTGAATGATCCAAACTAGGTATAGAATACAACGTTTGCAGTAGCATTGGACTTAAACTGGAAGGCTAGGAATTTGACTGTGTTTAATCAAGTTTAGTTAAATTCTTACCAAGTGTTGAATGAGATATAAGATCGGGTGAGTACTATTTGTAGAAAGATGTTCTTAGAGATTGTTTCAGTATCTTTGCATATTCAAGAATGGTTGAAACTTATTCTGTCCTCCACTTAGAATTATGAGCTATTTATCATGGCATTGAGACTGCTTTTATTATTGAATTAGATTTAATTGTTGTCTAATTTCTAAATGAAGATAGTCATCGGGATTATCTTTATTACTTTTTAGTCAATCATATTGTTAGAATGACGATGGCAGTCAAAGCGTGGCGTGTATTCATATCCTCAGAGAAGTTAATCATGTGACTGATGACTTTGATAAGTTTAATCTTTCATTATTAAATGGTGTTATTTGTTTTGAGTTTATAGACAAATTTGTTGCTTTTTCTCTTATAGTTTGAGTTAATAATACCTCATAAAAAAAGAGTCAATTTTTATATAAGATCAAACAAGAAAGAATAAGTTTTGTTTACTAAGGGTTGGAAAAGCAAATTTTTGACAAAAATAAATCTATTTTGATAAAGAAATAAATAGTTGAAATAATTTTAACAAAAAAAAAAAAAAACTTTCTCGTGAATTAAAATTAATGTTTTATAACAAAATAATTTTGATATCTTTACACCATTTTAAGTTATAAATTAAAAATCTTATTGAGTAGTGTCTTAAGCAAATGAAAGAAAAATTTTTACTAAAAATCATGGAAAAGGATATTCTTATACTAGTGTAAGTAAAACTTTTACAATTAATCTGAATCTTTCATTTAACTTAAATCTAATAGCTAGTAAAGTAATAAATTATAACTCGTTAAATTTAAGTTAAATGAAAGGTTAAGATTAAGTGTAATAATTTTTAAACTTACACTAGTGTAAGAAAATTTTATCTCAAAAAAATAAAATAAAATATATATATTACTAATTTTTTTATATTTTTATTTTATAATAATTATCTAAAAGATACTTGTCAACATCTAAAAAAGACAAATAACAATACACTATTTATTATTAAAAAAAATTAAAAAATAATAATTAACATCTATTTTCTTTTAATTCTTAATATTCAGAAATCACACAAGATTCCAACTAATCTTAATAAAATCAAGTTTATCTATTTAAAGGGATAAAAATCTCCTAAGTCATTTTTTCAATTAACAAAACTTAAATGTATTTTTAAATCCTAATTGAAAGAAACATTTTGAATGTACAACAATCATTTTTCAATCTTTTTATGCCAAAATTAAAGCCGTACAAATTTTGCGGGTGACCCGATTGAAAGTGAATCGGAGCCAGTGGAGATGAAGGATCTTCCTTATCTTGTTCTGTTCCTGTGTGTGTGTGAGTGACAAACACAGAGACATTGCGAGATGAACACATTATCAATGGCATCTGTTCTTCCCACTTCCAATTTGAAACCTTTAACCTTTCCTTCTATCAGAACCAAACCCTCATTCGCACTCACCAATCCACACCTTCACGTGGCTTCTCCAACACCCTCACGCTTTAAGCTCTGTGCTTCTGCCACCGAAATCGCTGTTGCTGAAGACACCCCTCTTCCTCCCCAGCCTCAGGTTTTATCACCCTTTTCACTTTTCTCTTTCAAATTTATGCTCCCACTGTCAATAGTAATAAAACCCACTTTTTTGTTTCCATTTTTCTTGATTAATTGGATACTGAAGTCTTAATTTTTTTCAGTATAAAGAAGTTGGGGTGGTAAAATATTCCTCCTTTTTTATGATAAATGAAAGAATAATGAACTTAATGGAAGACAAGCAGATCCATGTCCTTTGTAATTCCAACGAGAATGTTTAAAACGAGTGCAGAAATTTCAGGGTATTATCATATGAGACATTTTAATTTATCTGGTTGAAGCGCTTTTTTTTTTTTTTTAATTATTGTTGTTTGTTGTGAATTTAGAAGCTTGGAGTGGTTGTGAAGCCAACGGACAAGCCAAGGCTTGTGTTAAAGTTCATTTGGATGGAGAAGAACATTGGTATTGCACTTGATCAGATGATACCAGGGCATGGCACCATTCCTCTGAGCCCTTATTACTTTTGGCCAAGGAAAGATGCTTGGGAAGAGCTCAAGGAGTTACTTGAGAGCAAGCCTTGGATATCTCAAAAGCAGATGATTATTCTTCTCAATCAAGCTACTGATATCATCAATCTGTGGCAGCAAAGTGGTGGCAACTTGTCTTGAGCTCAATGTTGAATGATTTTTCATACTTTTTTCTTTCTTCTTGGGGTAATGTTTTGTGACAATAGGTTGTTCCCCTTTTAATGTTACAGTTGTTCTGTTTATTGCATTTGCGGCTATGTATACCAGACAAGTACCAAATTCTTTTAGATGATTCATTAGTATTTTGTCTGTCATATTTTTATCACTGACTGAAGTTCGATTGCCAACCTGTTGGCGATTGTTGGTGCTTGATATCACTATTAACGTTTAGATGAAAAAGAATCTCTCTTTGAGGACCATAAGATGCAAATGTATGATAATCAGTAGCATTCAGAGTGCAGCAGCGCAAATTTTGAAATATCTAGAAACATCGTATCTTAAGAATGAACTTTGGACTTGTCATGCATTATTAGAAGACTTCATACAAGTCTGTTGCTCACACTGAACTATGTTACTGCAAGCATTGGCCACACTTGTCGATTAGATAGTGTATAATTATTCTGATTTTCAAATTTGTCTATCCCTTTTACCAGCAATCATAACCTAGTTTTGTTAAGTATTAGGCGTAACTGATTTTCATCATTACTGGGGTAAGCTTAAAATATACCATGGATTGTCCGCTTAAGCTTGGCTAAGTTTGACGTTCAAAAAGAGAACATGCTTGGGGGCTTAAGTTAAATTGTTACACTGGTATTATGCTAGAGGGAAACCATATTGCCTTCAAGATGTTGCCCTTAGGATCTGGATTGGTTTTCACATAATCTTGCACTTGGATTTTTAAAAATTGCATTTTTTTAATACTTTTTGAGGATTACCAATTTGTACACTCTTGAAGAAACAACAAATGAGGAATAAATAAAAAAGAAAAACAATCTGAATTTTCCACAATTTTTTTTTTGGCTTCATCTTTGTGCTCATCTTGTCCTCACTGACATCATCTTCCAGTCCACGTGTTCATGATGCGTATGTATCCCCTTTGGGAAATTTGTTCTACCCGTAGTTACCATCACAGGTCTTCTTACCATATGATTTAGAGCGGGATCAGCTTGAGACCTCTGTGGATTCCATCTTATAGCGTGCGAGGAAGGGTCAATTCTTTGTTCACTCAAGTGTTTATTTTCTGTAGATGCATCAGACTGAGTGTTGTGATCATTGCTATCCAATTGGAAGCTCTTGATTGAGCCCAACTCAACAATCATGTTACCCTCTCCATTTGCTTCCTCTACATGTTCCTTGGAAACTAACTCTCTTTTTGATGTTGTCACATTATCTCTTGGAATTTGACTTAAACGAGATTCCTCCCATGCAAATTGTTTTTTAAGTTCTCTCCTTTCCCATTCCTTCTGTTCAATACCGTGGTTGCTTGTTGATATGATCACATCCTCTTGATTAGAACTAGAGCTCGTCGTGGGATGCACATGCACCTTGTCAAGAACAACTCTATGATTTGAGTGTTTACTGGCTTCAATCCCAGAAGATTCAGATTCCAAGGCTTCTTTAGTAGCGGCCGTTGTATCCTTGTACCTCTTCCTTTCTTCATTCCTATCAGCTAAATTCTCATTCTGGATATTAATAGGGGCGTTTTGGCTATTTTCTTTATGCTTAGGATCACCAATATTCAATCTATCCTGCAATAGTGGAAGAGAATTTGTTTCAATATGAAATATCTCAAATCAGCTAGTGCATGTTGTCGTTTCTTTTTGAGACAAGGTTCCCTTACCATATTTATCAATGTAGGGTCCTGCTCCAAACACAAGGTAACCCCAATTTCTGAAGCAATTTGCTTAAGCGCTTTCATTTTGATTTCCATGCCCGGCCGTTTTGAAAGCTTTTGTATCATCTACATAAGCCAAAGGAAAGTTCTCAGAATAATGGGACAATTCACTTGAAATGAGTTCTCACAGGATTATAATAACTAATTAGCACCTTAGAGTTCACTCTATTATTTTTGTGTAACTCAACAGCATGGTCTGCAAATTCTTTCCCAAATTTTGATGTCAAAATCTCTCGTATCTGGTGCAGCTCTGGAAAATCTCCACACCTTGAGGATGCAAAGATAAGGCTGGATGTTGCTTCCTTGAGCTCAATGGGGCACTCCCTACGTGAACATTATTTCAAAAAAATCCAAATTAGCAAAATAGGATAGTTAATCAAAATGCATGTGTCATTAAATAATTCATGAACAATTACTATAGAAGCAAGGAGATGATAAAACTCACTTGTTCTTTTCAAGAACTTCAGCTCTTTCTCTCAAGAAATTACAGTAAATTTCTATCATAGCAAATACATCCAGCGTGTTTTGTTCGATTATCCATTGATCCACCTGTTAATAAGTAGAGAATAAATTCAATGTTTATTTGTAAGATAGAGAATTAGATAGTGTGTGAGAAGAAAAGGGTAGGTGGGTGCATACACGAGGTAGAGCACGATCATGGTAACCAAGGTTCAAGAGCTGAGCTACATCAGACCATGCATAAGAGGCTCTAGCTTTGTGTTGGTTCTTCAAGATAAAAATCCTAGAAACAGCAAGTGTGGTGATGGTTTTGAATTTGGAAGTGAAGCTTTTTCCAAGCAGACCCATGTTTCTACTTCAACAATTTCCTGCTTCTTCAAATGAATTCGAGTTATGAATGGAATTAGATAGCACAAGATGCTTCTTTACGTATCCACAAGAGGAGGGGAATGAATGATTTTATGATGGGATATTCCTCTATAAGAAAACCACTATGGTAAGATAAGAGTTCAAATTTGACTTTATTCAATTAATACACTTTACAAATGAAATTGTCCCCAGTATCATACTACGAGAGTTCCTTCTTTGTTTTGAATTGGCCTAATACCAAGCTTGGGTAGTTCTTATCTGCTTCCTTCATAAAGACTAGAAACTTTGATAATTTAGCATGGGGTCTATGAAAACGTGACAGGGGTAACACTGTCATGTGGAATATGATGACCCCTTCTAATGGAAACTAGCTTGACGTGGTCAAAAACCTTGTATTATTGTCGTTTATGTTTTGTTAATGATTTATGTTGTCCTAATTGGGCTGAAGAAGTTGTAAGAAAGTGATGATTTGGTAAGCCACCATAATACTATACGTTTGTGTTGACCAAAAGTTGAAATTGATGGGCGTAGTAATTGCATTTTCTTATGTGGCTGCTGTCTAACTTAGCTAATGAATAAAGCTTTTTTATTCAAAATAAAAACAGAGCACGTGTGGTGGCGGTCATTGTGGTCAAGAGTTTAGGCTACGCGTTTGGAACAATACAATGAAAACTCCTTGAAATCAATAGCAAGAGAAAGAGCATTAGAATATATTTTTTACATGTATTTTATATTAGTTGAAATTTATTAAAAAATATATAATATAAAAAATTATGTTAAATAATATCTTAGAAGCATTTTTCATCATAAGCAAAGGCATTCAATGTTGGAATGAGTGATGATGTGGCAAATAGTCCAACGTTTCCGGCAGAAAAATTGCCTATGATAAAATATAAAATTGATTAACTATAAAATATTATAATCTGCAAAATTAACGGTGAAGATCTTTGTGGAATCCAAATTCGTGGTGAATGAGATTAGATAAATGAGGTTTAATGTGAGCAGTATATGAATGGGTTATCTCATGCAACGATAATTGATTAAATATATAGATTATCTAGGTTAAAATATACACGAAATTAGCTCAATATGTATTTTGAAATTAGAATAGTATAAATATGTTAGGGGAAAATAAAAGACACCACTTTCAAATTTTGGATAATGAATAAAATTATTTTTTATTAATTAAATTAATATGATGCTAGTATTAACTTCATATTTTTTAATATTGTACCAAGATTTAAAGTTGAAATTACACGCTAATAAATTTGTCATGTTTCACTTTTGCTCATAACCTAACTTTAACCATCATTTTTAAAAATGTAGTTAAAAATAATCTAAATACTAAGAAAATAACTTAACACTAATCTTAACCAACTAATCATCTTTTTCTTATTGTTAAATCTTTATCTTTATATATATAAAAGTAGATGAGTTTTGGAGAAAAAGTTGCAATAAGTTTTGGAGGGGAATTTACCTTCATTTTTTAATATAATAATCTTTATATAATAATTAATAATTACTATTTAAGGCCATTATAAATGTTTTAATTCAAATCAATTAAATCCATTCATTTTTAATTAGCAGTTTTGATATATCTTTACTTTTAAGGCCGTTTTGAATGGTTTAATTCAAATCAGTTAAATGTATTTATTTCTAATTAGCAGTCTTTATATATTCAAAAAGTGTATCTTTTGTGGCAGATTTGAACCTTAATATTAATGTTTATTTTAAATTTTATTATTAGAAATTAATAACTGATAAAATTACATGAAAGTAAAAAGAAAGACGTAGAAAAAAGTGAAAAGAAAATCAAATATATTGATTTGATTCTCAATAACTTGGAGTGAGTATTATTTTATAATATATTTTAATGGCTAAAATATTTGTTTAATATTTTTTTCTCTTTCATTACTTTATACTAATTAAGATTATATTATATTGAATTTGTTTCATAAGAATCAGAGAATTGTTTGCACTTTATGAGAGAAGTTTGATGATCAAATGATTATTTTTTAAAGAATGAAAATTCTAATGCTTTACCTATTATGATTATTCAATTATGTAAAGTGAAAATATTTGGTGGTATGATTCTTTATCTATATTGAACTCTTTTTAATTGTGTGATAATTATTATTATCAACAAATTATATTTCATAATTGTTTCAGGAACTTTAGACATATCAAATGCTTATAATGAGACAAAGTTGTATATCAATCTTAACATAAAAGAGACTATTGATTACAAGAATAAGTAAGTATTTTAATTATTTTTTATTTATAGAGACATCATTATGTTTGTATGATGTTTCATATTTTTATTTTTTATTTAAGTAAGCTATCCAATTTGTGGTATAAGATGAATATGAATGATGCAGGTATAAGTCAAGTATTAAGTTCGATGGGTACTTTTCTATTTCAATGGAAGATAATTTGCTCCAAGCTCAAAGTATGACCATATATACATGAAATAATTGAGACAAATTATGTATGTTTTGTATTGAAATACTGAAGTGAAATGCATATAATTAACAGTTAAATACAATTTTAAATTTTAATATAAATGATTTACTTTAAATTTTATTCTTGAAAACTGATAATTTGTATATGATTAATGAGAAATAATGGAATAAATGAATAAGAATTGATAAGTATATATATATATTCTAAGGGTTATTTATGTTACATTTGAATCTATTATAAATAATCAAATGAGAGCCATATGGACAAATATAAAATATTTAATAAAGATAAAAAAATTATATTTTATTTAGTGTGTATATATATTAACATATTTGTACTTTCTTTTTAACCTTAATATTAACATATAGGATCATTCATAAAGAATAGTAAAATGAATAAATTATAATTAATTAATTTATATATGTAAAAGGTCATACAATAATGGAATAATAAGAATTAATATTAATTTAGTATTTGTAATTTAAATATTATATGGAAAAAGTACAAAAACTGTTAAAAAGTTGGTATACAAGGAAATCTTTCAAAATATAAATTAGATTTATTATAAAAATTATAACTTTCCTTTTTAATTAATGTCAATAGAAAAAAAAATACTTTCTAAAGTTCTATATTATATTTCTTTCTTTCAAATAACTAATATTTTTATTAATAATAATATTAACATATACTAATTAATTTTAAACTTTTAAATAGTTTAAATTTTATTATAAAATTTTTCTTATCATAATATTTGTCTATATTTTATATTTTATATGTGACTTATAAATTTTATATTATATCAACATGTGTAATTTTAATTAATATAAAGATTCATTTTTATTTTCAATACAATTATTCTTCTCTTTTACTTTTTATTTAAATCTTAATTCAAAATTTTAAAATATATAAAGTATATAAAATTTGCATATAAAAATTTATTTATCTTATTTTTTAATCTATTTATATTTGATATTATTCAATATAATATAATTTTATTATTATATTTTTTATATTTAAATTATAAATTTATAATATTAATATATACTAATTATAATATAAACAAATTTCTGCGATATATAAATATATTTACTAATTTATAATTAAATTTTTTATAATAATATTTATAATATTTAAAGTCACATATAAATTATTTTTAATTGTTATATTTATTTTTTATAGATAATTTATTTTAAAAATAATCAAAATTTTCATTTAATATTTTTTCATCTTTCTGTTAAATTAAAAATAATTAATTTAATATTTAAAGTATAATTATTTTAAAACTAAATCATATATATATTTGATTAATAAATATACGATTCAATAATAAGAGATTAAATTATGATACTTGATATATAACAATAAATTTAGAAATACAAAATAGACTTATTTAATAAAAAATTATTTATTTTTATCTTTAAATTGTGTGCTATATAATTTTATAAGATAAAATAAAATATATAATTTTATTTCTTCAATAATTTTTGCCTTAAAATATTTTAAATATATTTAAATATATTTTTTTTATTAAGAATCCTTATGTTGTGGTATGTATATATACATGTTAAATTATTACAAATTAATTATAAGAGTATTTTTTAATTTTATAGAATTAAATTTATAATTTATAAATTTAAATTATATTTGAGTTTAAACTTTTACTTTTAAAGTTAATTTATAAATATTTAAAAGTATATTATAAATCTTTATATAATATGAAATATTTTATTAGTAATAATATTAATATATACTAATTAATTTTAAAATTTAAAATAATTTAAATATTATCATAAATATTTTATATAATTATTTTTTATTTTATAATTATTAATTATAATATTATACTGTAACATAATAATTTATCCGTGCATCGGATGACTTTCTAGTAAGTTAAAATAGCATTTTATAAATTTTATTCTCCATTGCTAATAAAATTATATTTATTAATGAAATAAATTTACCCCCAATTTATACTTTCCCTTTGTCATAACCTAACCAAACACTAACCGTCACTCACCAAGCAGCCATCTTTTGGTCTCTTTACATATCTCCGATTGGGAAAATCAGCTATTAGGTTTTCCAACAATGCCAAATGCGTTCTTCCGTTCATCGCTACGCTCATTCGCCACATCGGCAAGGGCTTCGCACCACAACCACCACCATAAGAACCACAAGTTCCTGTCACCGAACTCCTTCTTGGGGAGCTGGGAGGCGCCGACGGACCCGAAGGAAGCGGAGGCGAAGCTAGCGCGTGTGCGTAGGGAATATGCCAAGCAAGTGAAGGAGGTTCGTAAGGAATACATAAGAGAAATGGAAGCGATGAAGATTGAGAAACAACAAAAGGACGAAGCTCATAGGGAGGCTCTCAGAGTCGCCAACGAAGAGCGCAAGAAGCTCAAGGCTCAAGCTGCGCAGCTCCGAGCCCAAGAACGCGACATCGCCCAACAACAATTCCGACAAATCCTCGTATGTTCCATTTTTAACCTTAATTTCCTGTTTTTCATTAATCTCTTAATTCTGATTTATAGATCTATTATTATTGTAGTTATGGTGAATTTTAGTGGTAAACATTGTATGGCTGCATTATGTCAATTGATGCATTTTTTTTTCACTGTCAATATTGCAAATCTATCATTCAAGTTAGTTAATAGTTATGCAATTTGAACTAATATCTTTGCTTTGATTCTCGTTTTATTTTGTGTTTGAGAGTGTTAGATGACAAAGTTTTGCGTTGTTGGGTTAGCAATAGGTGAAAGGGTAGATGACAAAGTTTTACTTTGGTGGGTTAGCAATAGGTGAAAGGGTATATAAAGCAGGAAGGTCATGAGTTTGGCTTGTGTTAATTAGCTTGTTGTGGTTGATTGATTTCAAATTTTTGTGAATCAGATGAAAGAAAGAGAAGAGAAGCTTGAGAACTGGAGGATGAAAGTGAAAATGCATGAAGGGAAGAAGACGGAGAAGAAAGAGTTATTGCGTCAACAGAGTTCAGCATGGATTAATGAGGGTGATCTGGAGAAAAGAGTAGTGGAATCTATGGTTGAAGTAATGTATCTTTGAGCTCCTTGCAGTTCCACATTTGTATTGGTTAGTAGCTCTTTAGCCCATACCAGTTGCAGGACGATATAATGTTTGGAAATAAGTCTTGGGAATTTTGAAGGGATTACTAACTAAAGTGCATGTGGAAGTTCAAAGCATGCTGCTTTCATTTGATTTAAGTAAATGGTGATCGGATTTGATGCAGATGATATATCACTGTGATTAGAAATGTTTAGTTTGTGTAAATGCTAACATTCTTTAATTCAAATAAACGAAGCATTAACCAAAAAGGAAATGTTTAGTATGCTTCTGATAAGCTCTGATTTGAATACTCAGGTTTGCTCCTTGATGATGATGCCGATTAGAACTGCCTTGTAATCTCAAGGGGATTGATTATTGCATTTGGGTTTGTTACGTGCAAACTGACGCGGATGGGCTTTTCAACACACAAATGATTATACAAAATTTCTAGTTATTGAAAATAGAGCATGTCGTCGTATCATATGACATCGAAATTTCTTCTATATTACTCCACACTCAGACGCAAACGAGTTTGATATACTCGGATGTAATAAAAGGAAAAGAGAATGGAAGGGTGAAAGCAGAACATGCCTATTATACTGTTTAAAAATTAAGTGCAAATTTGTCTAATTTTTTAAAATAATTATTGAGTTTCTTGAGAAAAATTTTGAAAATTTTCCCCTCAAATGTGCACACTAAGATTTCTTTCAATCTCTTCAGTAACCAGCATAATAGCAAATTTCTTTGATTGTGTAAAGTGTAAGTCGTGGTTTTGCGAGGTTACACACCGTGCATCACTGCCGTGTTGTTCCATACAACTATTGCAAGGGAATTTTTTTTCACATCTCCCTTTTCATCTGAAAAGTAATTTCAAATACACGTTCCTAAAATTTAATTATGGAAGTAATACATTAATATTTTTTAATTTTTAATTTTTAAAATGTGTTTCTACTGTGACTTGTTACACTGAGATTAGTATAGATTAACACATTGGTATCATATTTTTGGTTTAGTACTAATTTATGTAATGAATTGATTTATTTATGCTGGAAGTACATTTTAACATTTTTCTTTCTTTTATTTTATTTACACACTTAACATATGTAAATCATTATATTTGTAAGAAAAGGATCCATAATTTCACCTGCCTCTACCTGGTTGAATTTCAAAAACTTGAAAACATTGATTCTACTTTAAAAAAACATTGCTCGCCCTCGCCAATCTAAATATTAGGACGCTGATTAAACCCCGAATGGTCTCAACAAACGGAAACACGCTACTCCAATTTCTCTTTTCTTTTTCTCTTTGGTCAATCAATTTCTCCTTGATTATGTCACATACTTAGGCAACCAGTTTCACCTTGAAATCTGTCAGGAGCAGAATTGTTAAAGAGAGCCCGAACGACAGAGTGAGATCTGGGCAACATTGCAGTTCATGTCTTAAGTGAGTTTCATTTAACGTTTGCTCTCTCTCTTACTCCAATGACAGCAAGATTTACTTTTGTATTTCATGCCATGGGATATGGATGGATGACCATCAAAGAAGTTTCACCTGAACACGATGAATCACCTGCCATAACATTTTTCATCACCTAGAGTTCCTATAATAATTTTTTATTCTTTTCTGTGGATTGAAATAAGATGACTGTTTGACTCGAAGTTCATAAAGTTTCTACATACTCGTTCACCCAAACAGAAGTACGTAAATCATAAACAGTCAAATAAATAAAACTAAAATCACACGGCTGCAAAACAATAATAAAACAGGTGGCCGACCAACACGATTCTGTTTTCTAGTCAATGGTGGTAAAAGATGTACAGATGCTATGTTCCAGAGGACAATAAAATAGAAAATATTAACATTGGCCCTTCCCCTAAGTGTTCAAAAGACTAACAAATGGCCCAGCACAGAAAAATGCCAGACACGAAAAACCACTGTTGGAGAAGATTAGAATTTTGACTAGTCCTCAAATTCATTCTGGTGATCCAATAGATAGTTGGCTGCCAGATCCTCATTTTTATTGCATGCAAAGAACACCTCCAGCACAAGATCTCGAGCAAATCCCATATCTTCAAGCTGTTAAAACGTCTTGGTCAGTAACATTTTTGTGTGTGTGCCGGGGGGGGGGTGGGGGGGGTGGCGGGTTTGATTCAAGACATAAGTTTCCATTGTAGCTTTCATGATATCGTTAAAAAAGAGGGAGCCATGAACTACGCACGGCAATAGTGCAACGGGGGAAAATATCAAGAATGCCATCATCAAGCGGCCAATGTAGCAAAACAACAACGAAAACAAAGTTAAAGCAACTGAATGGAAAGTGTAGTCAATAGCTCACCCGTTGAATGGCCTCGTTCTCTTCGGGGGTGACAGTGACAGTCTGAGGTATCATGGAAGCCAACTGACCCTGTAGGTTCCTGGTCATACAATTAAAACATAGCTTGAGCATCCAAATGTCAAAGAAAACCAATACCTATCCTCCTTCCTTCCCTCCCTCTCCCACCACAAGTATTGACATTATATATTTTCCCAAGAACCCTCGAGTGTCAAAGGTACAATATTTCTATACCTTCTCAGTCCCTATATAGGATTAAGATCATATGACGCTAGTGTAAATTAAAACTTATTTTGGTGTTTGGGAATATAAAAGTAGTGTAAATTAAAACTGATCCTAAACAAATGAATAATCTTTTGTAGAATCAATTCCCATAATCCCAGTTATTATGTCTGGATTGCATTATGATCTGGTTATTTTTACTCTATCATTATAATCAAGGTCAACAGATACATTGGTTTGGTGGCCATATATGAATTCTTTCTGAACTCATTTAATTCAAGAGTTTTCTTCTAAACCTTCATCATCCATGTGTAATTCTGAATTACTTTTATCAGTCAACGAAAAAGGTATGGACTTATTTCAGAACTCATTTAAAACTTCATATAATATTAAAGAAATGCTCCAAACTTAAAATGATTTATCTTACTCTTCTCCTTCAGGTTCATTTATAAGGCGTAAGAAGTCAGCTTGATGCTCTTGGATGAGCTGCATTAGGTGAGGATTTTGTTTTCCCAGTTCCTGAAGCATAGGCTGCAATGGAAAAGAAAATGGTTTATGATGTCCTTTGATCAGGTGAGGTCCAAATTTGCAATTGTAGTAACAGGATCTACAAGTACCAATAATACCTGCAAAATTTGGGGGTTTGATTGCACCATTGCTCTCAATGCTTGGAACTGAAATGTTATTACACTTGTAAATGCATAAATAATTAAAACAAAATGAGACCTAATCCCCAAAAAGAAAATGAGACCTAGCTCCCAAAAAGAAGATAACTGTTAAATTACCTGTTGACTGTTTCTCAAGAAATCCAAGTCGCCTGCATTATCATTGGTACCCATATCGGGAAGGCCCTGATTCAGAAATAATTACAAGTTTACCAACTGATGCTAAATTTTTTAACGCAACACAAGGGAAAGTATATACCTGGGGAAACAGGTTGAGTGGGTTGGTGTTGGGCCCACCAGCAGGTACACCTGGTTGTGGATTCTGGATTGATGGGTTTTCTGCCTGCTCAGCCACAGGGGATATGGCAACTGCTGGTACATCAGCTTGTTCAGGAATACCCTAACAAATAAATTAAGCATAAGTTTTGGATTAAAAAAAAGTTGTGATAAATGTAACTATATTATTGACACACAATTGCATTCTTTTTTAATTCTCAAGTTTAAGAAGTTAACACAAAAACCATAACCACTGAACTTCACTCCAAATACACAAAAAAACTATTGTATCTAGGCCATCAGATTGATAAATAATATTAACTTTATGATATGATAAAATTAGTTATTTCAACTTGTATAATTTATAATGCAAAAATCACACAATTACAAAGAGAATTTTCTCGCTCCATGTAATTTTGTTGCATCGAATAACAATCAACAACCATGGTTCTAGTAATTTATTTCCAGAGCAGAAAAGCCATGTGTTAGAACATCAATCTTATTATCTTCACATTCTTCTATTCCGAAATATTTTCTCTTAAAATGCTAGAGGCATGCGTATCAGTTGAGTTTTGAAAGCATAATTCATTATGGCATGAAGTCAAGCAAAATTTAAAAGTGACATGGGTAGCTGTGGAGTCGCTAAAGAAAGCATCAAACAGATAAGCTGCCAAATTAACAACGGAAACATCCATGCTTTACACAGGAAAGAAGCCAGAGTCTGCACAGACTTACAGAATAAAGATATTCAATAGCTCTTTCAGGATTGTTAAATGCAGCACGAAGAGCACGGACAACAGTATCCCGTTCCCAACTTCCTCCCCCCATTTCTAGAATTTGTTGAATAGTTGATTCTAAATTACTTCCTGCAATGAGATTTGACGCTGCTTGGCCATAGTTAGTGGACACAGCACTGCAATAACCAACATATACAAATTAACAACTGTACTTAAGTTCACACAATCATAATAGACATCACAGGTAACAAGGACTAGGATTTTTATATTTTTCAGTGAAAAAGAAACAAATGGCCAAGCATAAGAAATTACACAGTTAGACATTATTTACTACATAGCTTGGCTGCAGATGGTAGCATTGAGGCAGCACAACTTATCAGCCAAATTTAACTACAGAAAAGCTGTTGAAACTCATGATAGAGAAAATGCCAGATACTCACGTGCTGGGAGGAGCAGCAGCAGGACTTTGCTCAGAGTTGGATTCTTCCCTGAAAGCAAAGTGAGACAATTATAAGAAGTTTACATGAAAACCAAATTAAAAATATTCTATTATACCGAAACCTTGAGACAGGGAAAATTAATATGAACTCACTGTCCTACAGTTGCAGGAAGGGGCTGAGATGTTGAAGCAGGAGGCAAAGAACTTGCAGGTTGGGTTGCCTAAACATGCAAGTAGCAAGCAAAAGTAAACGAAAAAAATTAAGAACAAAGAGATTTCATTATTGGTCATAAGATGAAGTAAAAAAAAAAAAAAAACTAAATAACTATGCAAATTTGAATATTATTAAAATACTGTGAATTAAAAAAATCAACAGAATACATTTTGCATCCAATATCTATTCATGTGTTGAACTGAACATGTTGCGTAGAACTCTTCTATATAGACACTCAACATAAAGATTATAAAGATAGTCACAACAAAATTCTGTTGGAATGCTAACACAAGCATGTATACACACTCTTGTAATTTGTAAGATCATACAATCTTATGATCTTTGCCATGGTTGCAATCCCGACATCAGTTGTAACTCTTTTTCTGGCAGAATCGGTGAGATTGTGTGGTCCCACTATGATTTTTGTTTACCCTTTTTTTCACATAAACCCAAAAAGAGCAACCCTTTTTTTTTTACCACACGATTTACAATCTCAATTACCCTTCTCAATCCAAAGTAAAATCTGGATCTTGACTACCTTGGAAACAATTAATTTTAAAATCATTAATGAAACAATTGCATCATCCAAGTTTTATAAAGAACTTCATCAATTAAATGATAAGTTTTGACAAGTCAAATTACATGTAAGAAAATGCAAGCAATAAAAATAAAAAATAAACAAGAACATAATTTTTAAATGTAAATTTTTTGTAGTCACCTGGTTTGAGGGTGCAGATGAAGTAGTTGAGGCTTCACTTGATGATACCTTATTCTGAAATTGGCAGATCACCATGCACATTTAAAAGTAAGCCACTGGAAACCACACAACAGACCCCCTCTCCCCATGGGTTGAAAGGAAGGATACTGACAATACATTTTTGTTCTTTTCAAAGCATCCATCACCACCTCCCCACATAGTACAATTTCAATAAACATTAAGTGATAAACTAACACATAGCAAGTCTGGCACTTTCTTGGCACGAGAAAAGACAAAAGCTAGGAGGTTGAAAGTAGAGCATAGCTCATTTTCACTCCAAACCACAAATTTTGGGAACTAGGAAAGCAAATAGAAAGTGATTTTCATTTTTACACCTTATGCCATGCAACAAGCAAAAAATAAATCCCTTCACAGAAAAATTGCATTTCCTTAAATATTAGAATGCAGCTATCACATAATAACACAACACGCACACACGCCCACATGTATACCACCAAAAAAATCAATGAAATACTTCTTATTTTCAGCATTAACCATAACAGACACAATAGAAAACGTATTTACAAAAGTTTAAGAATAAAAAAATAAAAACTACACAATGAAAAATAGCACGATGTAAGCAAAGAATCACCCAATGGCGTGTCCAACACTCTCAGATAAAGGGTACGAATCCGAGCATTCTAGCTTCCCCAATAAGATTAAACAGTTAACATGATTATGTAAGAGAACAGAAACAATCCAAAAACCAAAACAAAATCATCACCTTGGTTAACATGATCACCACAAAATTATTCTCAACAACTTTATTTTCTTCCAGGGTTGTGGCATCCTTCAGCACTTTCCCCTGATGAATAAGCATCTGTTGCGCAGCAGGATAAACATCAGCACCTTGCGCTACCTCAATATATTTCTTCACATCAGCAACCTAATATCAATATTAATATTAATAATCCACAAACCAAACCGAAAAAAGAAAAAAAAATCCAGAAAAATATAAATCCAAACATTCAATAGCATTATACACAAATGTAACTATACCTTCAAACAGAACTTTCCAACACACACAAATAAAAATAAAAATAAAAAAATCCTAGAATAAATTGTTTAATTTCAACAATTAAGAGTGTTCATAGCATTACCGTGTTCTGAGGATTCACTTCGATCTCAAAGTGACTTCCCTTGAGAGTCTTCACGTTAATCTTCATCTTCCCGTTTAATTTCTCCGAACACCGTTTTGCTTTGTTTGGGGGAAAAGCTCACACAAACAAGGTCACAACAGAAGCGCTGCACTTCGTTCCGCTTTTATAGGCATAGATACAACGCAGCCAATTATCAAGTGCAAACAGAACCACGCTAAGAGCAAAACTATCAACCCTCTTGTGAAGCCACGTGGTGACAACCGTTATGCTCCGCCCGATTTCGAACTGATTTCGAACTGTGATTGGATGCAGCAAAAGCCCGATTATGTTTTCTAGTTACAGATGCATATGTGATTTCGGCGAAAGCGCTAGATTTTGGATGAGATTAGATAATTTGATACGTATACTCTTATCTTTTTCTGTTTTTCTTTTACTGGGAAATATTTGATATTGATTAAAATTTATTTTAATTCGATTGATACTGCTTTTGAAAGAAACATATTTGATAATGGTTTAATAACTTATAACTAATATTTAATGCTCAAATCAGACATTTTAATTTAAATATATCATTACTGTAATTTTTATATACAAATGCCAATTATTATAAAAAAATATCAAATATATTATTGCGTAATATAATAAAAAATACTAACAACATATACTGTGTAACACTCTTTTTGTTAATGATTAAAATTTATTGAAAAATAAAAAAATAATGTAATTTTTAACTTTTTATTATTAAAATAATTTTTTTATAATTTTATTTTTAATAAATTTTAATTAATAATAAAAAATATGTTAAAAAAATATATTGTTAAGATTCAAAATAACAAAACGTTATTAGATTAGTAGTAATAAAACTAACTCTCCTTATGGGTGTGATAGAAAGGTAAAATTCTCTATGCAAAGCTTTTTTTAACAATGTTTCAAAATTATACTTCAAAATAATATATTAAAATAAACTTTTTTATATCATAGTTAAGTTATTTTTTAGTTAATTTGTACGTAAGAGAATTAATAAAGATTTTTTTACTTGCCTTTTTTTTTTCATTCTGACTAAAAAATTCCAAATTCTTTTCTCTTTCTAGGGAGAAGTAAAGAGTAGAGAACAATATGCAGCAAAGAATATACGAGTCATCAAAAAGTAACGGAAATGTATTCATAACGATGCGGTGATCCCTTTCGTATAACTTACAATATACTTTTAATTCATTTCTAAATTAACTTTAAAATAAAGTAATTAGACTGAAATTATTGTAATTTAAAAATTAATAATTTTGATTTTATAAAGTTTAAAAATAGCCTTATAACTAATTTATAACAATGTAACATGCATACATACCATAACATTAATGATAAATAATAACAAAATAATTTTAATATATTTAAAAAATTTTAAGACTAAAATTATTGAAAGAATAAAATAAAATTTTAACTATATTTATAAATACTAGAAACATATCTTATCTCACAAAATTATATAGCACATAATTTAAAAATAAAAAAAATAATCAATAAAATGTCTATATTTAAATTTAAAATAAAAAATAGGTTACCATTTTCATGATTTATTTAATAGAAAATTATTTCAAATATTAATATGATGTTATAAAATTTTTTAACCTAGAACATAGTTATGATTTTACTAAAAAAAAATTAATTTCACAGGTAATTTAACTTTTTAGAGTATCAAAAGTGAAAAATATATAATATAAATTTATAACTAATTTAAATAATTTTTTATAATTTAAAATAAAATAAGGTGTGATTTAAAATGAAAATATTAATTTCAATTGAAACAAATAAAATTTATCAAAATTTATATTATTACATAATCAAATTTGCAAAAGAGAAAAAATATCTAAATACATAAACATAATTTTATAGGTTAGAAACTTAAAACTTGAAATGAGATTATTATACTCCTGCATGAAGACAAGTCATTACTAGAAACACATTATTTATAGACAAAAATTATATACAGATTTTATTTGTCTATATTATAGATGGATTATCTATTTTTTCTTAGAAATCTATTTGTAAATTTGTCTGTAATATAGATGAACAAAATCAATTTGTAATTTTTGTATGTATTTAGCCCGCAATTTGGCTTAAAGTATTATAGATAAAAATTACAAATAGAAATATTTGTTTATAATTTAAAAATTGAAAAATTTGGAGCAGGAGTTACAAATAGAAAAAAAAAATTGTAAATGTGGCTATTTTTTTTACCTATTTTTCAATTGACAATTTACAGACAATTTTTTTTCTCTATAACTGTCTTTGACGGATTTATAGACAGATAGATATGTCTGTAACTGAACTTGTAAAATACACCATTTTATTAAATCATTTACAGACGAATTTTTTCATCTGTAATTTGTGAAACAATCAAAATTGAGCCTCATCCTTCTTCTTCCTCATTTTGCATAATTTCCTCTCTCTCTCTCCTCTCTGTCTCTCTCTTTTTCTTGGAGCTTCAGTTTTTTTGCCTTTGTGAGCGATTGGAGCATCTATTTAAAAAATAATTCGCATTATTGTGTTCGTGATATGATACTCTAACTTTTATTGATTTAGTTTTTTAATTTTTAATGTATATTAGAGACTTAAAATTTCTATAGAGTTGTAGGACTAGAGATATTGTATGACTGAGGGGATGGGCGTAGAGGTCTTGCCCCGAACCTAATTATTGTGTGTTGTGAAATTATTTGTCCTTGCAGAGTTATAAATTTGTTGTGTTAAGTGTAAACAAATGTAAGAAAATATTCATATATTATGAGAGATTTTGTCAAAATTTACATTATAAATTTGTTGTATTAAGTGTAAACAAATGTAAGAAAATATTCATATATTATGAGAGATTCTGAATTTACATTAGAAATTTGAGTAATGTAAAATAAAATGTTGATACAACATTGTGTATCTGTGTATTTGGTCTTTAAATATATATTATATTTGATTCAGATATGTAAAATAAAATGTTGATACAACATTGTGTATCTGCAAAATTATATGTTATTATTAATAATTTATTAAATAGTTCTCGAAACTAATATATAATTATCTGCTAAGATGACTATGTTCAAAGGCTTGAAGAGTCATCTTTTTAAGATCTAGAGTTAATTGATGAGAATACTAAGAGACAATAGGTAACCTTTATAAAGGCCGCATTTATGGCATGAGGAGCCGCTTTGCAGACTTCATATCTCCTGCATCTGTCACTGAAAATGTCCTTTTTCTTGCAGCTGAGGAAGTGGAGGACATAGTCTGCACTCAGGTTCATGCCTTTAATGAAGAACTACAAAAGCAAAATGAGGAGATGTGGAAGACCAAGGAAAGTGTATGGAAGAAGAAAATGGAGAAGAAGATAGAGAAGAAGGTGGCATCGAGGATGCAAAGAAAGGTATCGCAGCAACATATGCAAATGCATGCATACTTTGAGCTCATGAGAGTAAGCAACTCCACACCTTTTTCTTCTCTTCCACCAGCTTCAGTAGCACCAGTCTTCAGCTCCATGCGTCATTCATCCTTCAACTCTTCTTTTACTGATAACGATGCTATTTTACACCGATAATTCATGATATACACTGATATTTTATTTTTATATTATTTATTTGAATATTTACTTCTTCATTTGTAATGATATTTTAATTTTATAAATAAAGTTTGATTTTAAATATATAATTTTGTAGTTTTTATTATGTATATAAATTATGATAATTAGGTACAATGAGAAATAATTATGTTTGTAAAAAAAGTAGAAAAAAATTCATATTTCACAAATGAATTACAAACAAATTTTTCTATCTATAAGTTACAGAGGGATTCAAAATTCTGTCTATAATTATTTATTGATGCAAATATTACATTAATATTTTGAGTTAAAATTTATTTTTTTTCGTCATTACTTCCAAGCATGCTTACAATAAAAAATGTATACAAAATTTGTAATAATTGTAATAGTCAAATAAAAAGAAGATTTGAAGTTCACAGTACATATAAATAAATTTATTGATGAAGTTCACAGTACATTCAATGATTTAAATCGTTGTTATACTAATTTTTTGAACTTTTTTTTATTAAATTAATTTTTCTAGTGCCTTTAGTCTTTTACAGGAGTAATTTGATGAAATTTTAGATTGTTTTTTCCTTTTACAATTTAATTTATCACTAAGTTAAACTTTTTTTTTTATTACTTTAACACTTTTTAAAGATTAATTTGATTACTTAAATTTTTAAAGGAATAATTTAATAACAAAAAAATATATAAAAATAGTGTGGCAATAATTTAAATATTTAAGGCACTAATTTGGTGTCCAAATATTTACTGAATCAATCTATTTAGTGATACTTTATTTTTGGAAACTAATTTGACTCTTTTATCATTATACATGTAATTCATGAATTACATAATGTATTTTTGTATTATTATTCATGAATTTTTATATTAATAAAAAATTATTAAATTTTATAATAATTAACTTAAATCATATTAATAATGTATTTTAATTGGTTGATAATATAATTTTTTTTTACTTCCTCTTATCCTTTTTATAAATATTTTAAATTTTTACTGATTCTGAATATAAAATTCATTATAAAATTTTGAGAATATTTATTATTTTTTCACATATTAATCTTTCTAACTTCTTAATAATTAATATAAATAATAAAAAAATTGACTTTAATTCAGGTAAGTTGAAATTTTGTAATTAATTTTTTAAAAATTAATACAAGAACTACTTTCAAGAAATTTTTTTAATTTATATGATTTAATTGACAAAGTTTATATAAACAAAGAGGAAGAATATTGAGAATGTATTAAAATTATATGTGGATTATTTCTAAAAACTTCATTACTAAATTTATGATGTAAAACGGTTGTGAAGAATTTGTAAGAAAAATATAAAAAGAACATGAATCATTAGAGCAGTAAATGGTGATATCCATTCAGCATAAGGGGTGGTGTATTTAGATGAGCTGAGAATTTGGAAAAACAAAAAGTAACGTACAAAGCTGATATCAGTGGTAATTAGGATAAATGAGAGAGGGTTGCCAATGCATTTGTTCATTTTTATAGATTAAATTCAAATTTCATTTTAAAATAAAATAAAAATTCATTAATCAACACTAATCATAACTCTACCTGGCAATTTGTATCTCCATTCAAACGAGTTTACCTAAAACTAAAAATAATAAAAATATTGTCAATGTTTTAGAGGGAAACCAGAAGCACTGGAAGAATAGGTGACACTTTTACCATATTTTATTTCAAAAAATAATTTAAACTTAAATATATTAAATATTTATTTATCAAATTTATAACTCAAAATAACATATAAGACTAAAATCAATTGATTCAATGCACAGGTAAAATAGTTTTTTATGATCATGTTACTCACATAAATAGGTCTTCTTGTGATATGAAAAAAAGATATAAAAGTTATAAAAAAAAACTCTCTTTCGACCAGATCGAATGATTTTGGCTTTTATTACCTTTTTTTCTGGTGTAATTTATCAAGTACAATAAAATGATCCTTTTCTAGCCTTATTGAATAACATTTTCAAGTACAAATGGGCACTTGCGAATAATTTTGGCATGGTGTCTTTTCCTATCCTTGATTGAACTCCTCTAGCAGAAATCTTTGCACAATCTCCATGCTTGGTTTAAACACAATCTCTTTGTACAAATGCTTATAGTCTGCTCCATTTAAAACAGCCTCAAACACTGGTGTGGAATCAATTTTGATCATTTCCCATCCAAGCTCACAGTTCAACCTATGGATCTTGAATTGTTGCATTTCAGCCAACTTGCAAGTGTTTTCTTTAGTTTTTCTGATAGCATGTTGCAGTATCTTCTCCTTTTGAGCCTCATCATCTATTTCCTTTTCTATCCGAAGATAGTGTTCTAGCTCAGGAACCCCTATGGCTCTTTTAACCCCACGAGAGTAATCATATTTTGTTCCTGGCACAAAAGCTTCTCGAATCTCGTCAACAATCCCAGCATCAAGCATTTCATCCACCCTTTTGTCCAAATATTCAAACAACACAGGCAAAGACACATGGAGCCAAATGAAGCAACAATCATATTTTGAGCGAAATGCAATGTTGGGGTCCTCAACTAATGCTTTAAGGTAAGAGTTTGAGCCTCCCACAATAATGGGTACGCGTCCATTTTGAATAATGTGATTGAGAGCAACAAGTACATGGTTGCAAAAGTCATCAACTGTGAAGTCATAATCAGGGTCATCGATTATGCTTAGCAAGTGATGAGGAATGGCACAACGTTCTGACTCAGATACCTTGTTCGTGATGATATCAAGGCCCTTGTATACTTGAATTTTGTCTGAGTTTATTATTTCAGAGGGAAATTGAGTGGCCAAGTTGATGGAAAGCTTGGTTTTTCCTGTGCCAGTTGCACCCATTATGAACACAACTTTCTTCTTGTTGCCAGCAAGTGCCGGGGAAGAACAAGCCGAAGGAGCCATTTGTATCCTTGATCAATATAATATCTGAAGAAAATTATTAGAAAAAAACACACGAGTAAGCATATACTTAGTGATCTGAGCCTCCTTCAGCTGAATCAAGATCACATTCAACTATGAAAAAGAGATCATATTGATAGAGGAACTAACTTAACTCACCTGTTGTGGATTTCGAGGAAATGAAAATATGTATGCAGTGGATTATAGTAGCAAGGTCTGTTATATATTAACCGGAGAAGCCTAATTATGTTATGTTTTTTAATGTTCCCTTATCTTATACTCAAATTAGAAAGAAAACAAAATGAGAAATATTAAATAAGTTAAAATGACACGATCTGCTCCATTCGATCGCAATATTATTGACAATATTTCTGCATTTAATTAAATCATTTATTAGTCAGATCTCCCATTATTATTATTTTTAACGTTTTATCTCCTTCTTATAGTTTCACATTTTAACTATTCTTCAATTTCTGCGTACTTGCAATTCTATGAACTCATTTTGGAATGAGATTAGAGAACATAATATAATATCTTTTTCTATCTTAATTTTTTATGTTCGTTAAAGTAACATAATGTGATAAGTCTATCTTGTGACCTTATTCTATCATCTGCTCTATAGATTTGAGTGTGAAATAAACACGATATAATAACACAATGTATTTAGTTTTTTATGTTAGTATATGTCAAATGTAAAATTAAACAAAAGTTTATTCTATCTTTATTATCATATAATGTTCCTATCTAAACTTTCGTATATTATTTGTTTCTATCCTATCATAACCATCAAATGAATTGTATACCATTTTTTATTATTTATAACTACTATTTTTATCTTTTGCATAAATTATTTTTGCCCAACAAATTAATCATTTTTGTTTTTGTTTTTATCATTTAATATTCTTACTATTTTTATCCTTTTTACTTTATTCTTTTCTACTGTTATATATTTTATAATACACATTTTCCTTTCTTGCAATTTAATGATATACCTTTCGTCTCACTGACATAACATTCAAAAGTTCGAGTAGGTACATGATGAACATTGAATTTAAAATGTTAGAAAATTTTAATATAATTTGTTTCAAAAGTAATTTATTGATAATTACATTTGTTCTTATAACAATTACAAAAGCACAATTAATTAATTAATTAATTAATTAATCATTCAAAAGTATCCTAACATTTATTGAATATAATATTCTCTATGATATTTTGATTATAATATAGTATTATTAAGTTTTATTTAATTGAGGTTGAATTAGTTTACTGGATGAAAATGTTTAAAAAATTTAAAATTCAGTTAAACTAACTCATTGACAAAACTACATGACAATATCATATTTGTAAAAGTATTGGAGATTTAAATAAATTGTTATTAATATTAATTTGAGTAGTAAATATGATTAAAAAAAACAAATAAATATAAAAATGAAATAATTAAATTTGTAAAGTTTAAATATTTTAATTCTATTAAATATTATAAAAAAATTATACTATTATTGCACGAGTACAACCGCTATAAATTTATATTTTATATATAATATAAATTAGAATAAAATTTATAAATATGAATTGTGTTGCATTTAGTTTAAATTTATCTCAGAATAAATTTTGTAAATTATAATTTGGTTACACATTTTTTTAAAAAATTTTCTACTCTTTTATTAAAAAATTATACTATAGACCGTTGACATTATCAAAGTGAAAAATTGTTAGAAATTTATCCAATTTATTAGAAATATTTTACCAACATTTTATATTCATAAGCATAAACATCATGTTTTGATGCATTACATCAGTACTTTCAAATTCAGATTCTCAAATTAGTAGAGAACGACAAAATATCCAGTGTTTTATTTTCCTTTCATTAATTTAGTTTTTATTTTCTTCACATAGTTACCTTTTATTTCAGAAAGAAAAGAATAAAAAAAATAAGAATCCATTCTTCATTCTGCATCTTTCATTTTCACTTTTTTCTTTATCTTTCATTTATTGAATCCAAGTAGCTTTCATATTTCCTGAAACAAGATGTTTTCCCTTTAGTTTTGCCAAAAAAACTATCTTCTTTGAAAGGAAGGATCTAAATACACTTATTTTATTTGAGTGTCTTTTGATTCGGATTTACAAATTAAATTTATGCACGAATTATAAGAAGAAAACTATTCGTGCGATGCTTATACATCCCCTCCCCTCTTGTTCTTCTCCCATGATGCACTCCTCATGTTGTTGGGGCACTGATTAACAAGATCTTTACATTAGTATTAAATATCAATATTATGATGTTAACTTTTAAGAATTTAATTATAAAATTATACAATTATAGAAACTGATAAATTAATAAACTAAATATTTTTTAAAATAACAAATCTGACTTATGTAATAAATAAGGCCGATATAACTTGAATTCGACTGGAGCTAAGCTATAATCACTGGTGACATATTTGGTAACTTCTGGAGGCACGAGAAATTATGGTACATCTTCTTCACGAGCTCTATTATTTTTTCTTGAGCAACCCCAATCTAGTTATAAAGATGAAGCTAGCACTCTTGTGCTTCGGTTTGCATTGTTGGGCTTGGGCCACACCTTCCCATTTTTTTGCTTAGTCTTCATTGAAACCCAAAAACACAAACATTATTATTATTATTATAAACTTTTAACGTTGTACCCATTGCTGCATGGTGAAGCACCCTTTCTTGAATATTTTTTTCCCATCAAGGTGATTGATGGGATCAGTTTACATGCCTTATAGAAGCAGGTCACTAAGTGTTAAAGCTCTTGGTGAAACATGATATATGTGGACCGTAGTACACATATACAGATTAGCCGAAGTGATTTTGCCATGGTAGGGGAAAAGGAAACATATCCTATATATATATATTCATGTTTCCATTACCATTTTACCTTGGTTGTTGATGTTCTCCACTAAATTAATTTGAGAGGTTTTAACTTGTAAGAGAGTTTTGATTAGAGGGTCTTTAGAGTTCTTAGAGGTGGAGTTTATGACTTTCTATCAAAGGGTTTTTGGTGAGTTGAGAGGGGAGGGAGAATTTTGAATGGATCATGCTGATTCCAACCAGTTATAAGCTAACACATGCATTTTAAAAAAATTTAACACATAACAAGATGAGAATGACTGAGATCACATGATTTCAAACCGTCAAATAATAATTTTAAAGAATAAATTAAATGATATTTACTATTTTAAGAACTAAATTGGATGATATTTATAATTTTAGAAACTAAAATGATTGATTTCTTGTATTTTATGAATATTTTTATAATTTAAAGAACTAAAATATTTGATTTTATAATTTTAGAGATTAAAATATCAATTACTAGAGAGTTTTAATTTTTTTTTTCTTGTTAAGTGAAAACATAGTCACGTATTATATGATCATTAGCGAGGATCATAAATATTTGATAATCATAGACTACCTATAATTTCTATATTTGTCTTCTTTTCCTATATATATTTTTTTAATTTAAAAAAACTATGAGGTGTGTAGGTACAATGTTGGCTGAAACAACGTTATGCAGCTTGCCTGCAAATAAAATTAAGCTACTGATTCAAGCTATTGATGCATGTCTTTGATTCATTCATATGATATGCTTGTAAAATGTTTAGACCACTATTCAATCCTTCTACAATTTTCATTTGAACTGTTTTAAGTTAACATTGTTTTAACTCATCAAGAGCCTATTTGAAATTATTCATCAGTTTTCTTTCTGTACACCTTTTTAAATTTTGGTATATCTTTATTTGCCACAAGATACAAAGTTTGAAATTCTCTAGGTTTTATTTTCGAGTAATTTGAGTCCTGATTTCAGAAGCATAACTCGCTTATACACTAATCCACATTGCATTGGCACAAAAGCCTTGCAAATTTCACCTTTGGGGCCATTGGGAATAGAGAATCAAAATCTCAATATAATTTAAGGTCAAGAGAGAATCTCCTATTTTCAAGTTAAAGCAACTATTAATATAATTTTCAATGGGATTATAACGATATTGAGATTTGAACTAGATGTACAATGATATTGAAACAACGATCATAAAAATGGGGCACAAGGTTTTTGTGGAAGGGTAGCTCATCTTGCATCTCCCTCTAAAAAGAAAAGATGAACGTTCAAATTCACAATTTCGAATCAAGACCAATTGCTTTTCAACGACACAAGCAAACAACTCAATTACTCTACTAGTTTGATGTTGAATTCATTTTTTTTCCCAAAATGTACAATGGTCCCATTTCATAACAATTCAACCTTGCATGCTCTAATTGTGACACGCTCTTAAGTCTACAGCTCAGATTTAATTTGAGTTAAATATCATAATGGTAGATGTGAAAATATACTTTAAAAGGTATAAATGTGAGTGTAGAGTACAAGTCTCTAACTTGAACTTGTTTTAAAGTTTTTATGATTGGCTTTCTTCACTTGAACACTAACGTGGGAAACATTGGGGAAAAGTAGTATATTTAAAGTACATTTTTCTTAATTAAATTAATAATAAGAACATATAAATAAAAAATAATAATAAATTGGAGAGTTAAAGCATGCTAAAAAATGGATGCCAACCTTGATGCCGGTAGGTAAGGGCTTTTGGGCCCAAAAGTGAGTGGGATGGTTAAAAGTTGAGAGAGAGAGAGAGTAATTGGTGGGTAAATATAACAACTGCTTCGTATTTATGTTGGAAATTGGACCGCACCCCTTTCCCATGCCGTAAAGTGCGCCACAATTTTACATCACCATGCTTACTACTTACCTTGCCATTGCTTTTGTAATTTTTTTTTACACTATGGTATTATTTTTTTAATTGTATTTTAAAATACCCCTAATAATAATAATTTAAATTATTAAAATTAAAAATTTCTTAAATTTCTCTATTTTTTAAATTCTGAAATAATTTTATTGTTTTTACTTTTTATATCTGTCACATTTTGTTCTAATATATTTAATACACTAAATGTATTATACAAGTTTAATTAATCGTTAAAAATTA